TCAGTGTAGAAATTCTGTTGGATAATTATAATTTATATAAAAATTTAATTCTCAGTACTGAACAGTTTTGGAATATCTACAAATTAAAACATTAAGACTAAAACTGTTAATTTGATGATTTATGTTTCCATTCCTGAAAAATTCAGATGATGTTTGTAACCTGATAGAATTTTCAGTATACTTTAAAATGAAATAGAGATTGTTTAACTAAAATCAGTTATCAAAAACATACTGACATAAAATATTTAATAGTGGTATTTCAAAAGACACGTGTCAAAGAAAACATTGTCTAATTTAATATATAATATGCAGACTGGACATGAGGAGACATGGTGGAACAAACTGTTATGTCTTAAAAATAAACAACAATAAACTTCTATTTATTAACAATAAATACTGTATTTTATTATATAAATAAATAAACACATTTAAACTATATATATTGAGAATTGTACCACTTTTTATTTCAAGTGTTTTTATGCTTAATGATATCTGTATTAATACTCTTTTCAATCACCTAACATCTGTACCCTTTTAAAAAAAAATCTAGTGAGAAATTCAAGTAACTTTGAACACACTAATTATTCTGCTCATAGTCATTAAAACAACTGACTGGTTTTATCAACAGCTCCTGGAGGAAGCCTTAATATGTTGTCTTCTAGAACCTTGCTGAGCCTAATTCACAAGAGCTTTAACTTTCCAGCCTCCTCCAAAGTCATCCCAATGGGAGCTTACAAATAGATGTGCACCAGAAACACAGAGCAAGAGTGTGACAACAGCATGAAGTTTGAGAAATATCATAAGATCTCAATACAACTGACACTTCCAAAAACAGCTGCATAAATGTATTTCTTTTGAAACAGAGAGAGTAATCTCTGAAGGAGTATTAAGAAGGCGTTTCTATTTCTCTCTGTAGAAAGTTCTTTGCATTTTGCATGATGTCACTGTACATATAAAAGAACAAAAGCATAAAAATTTATCACTCCACAGTTGTGCAAATTAAGCCCTGTTTGAGCAAGGCCCCACAGAGACAGCACTGTGCACGGGAAAGTCCTGAATGTGTTTTCCAGAGTGCATTGCAGTTTGGATTTAGAGCGCTGCCCACCAGCAATGCCTGCAAGTAAAGTGTCCACACCACATTAGAGGATTGTTGTTTAAGCAAGTATTGGGGTGCCTAATATTGAAAAGTAGTAATTGAGTTAGAAACAGGACAAAGGGAAAATTGGAATTGTCACTAGGAGAGTTGGTGAGTTGGTGGAGAAACATGGGCTGCTCCTGCTTGTTAATTTGAGCCAATCTTGCCTCATCCTGGGATCGCACTAAGGATCTATTACTACATACTCTCTGTATTCTAGTAAATTATTCCTACTAATTTTCCAGGGAAAAATAATCTTCAAATGAGGGAGTCAAAGGTTAAAGTGCAGGAGTCTTTGAGATTCACGTTAAGTGTGCAAAAAAAAAAAAAAAAAAAAAAAAAAAAAAAAAAAAAAANAAAAAAAAAAAAAAAAAAAAAAAAAAAAAAAAAAAAAAACCCTGCAAGTTCAGTTTTGCTTCTCAGAACACTTAAAAATTGACATTTAATACATATATAGAACCTATGGTCCATGCTCGAGAATAGTTAAACATGGACCATTTTCTCAAAACTGGTAGTCAGTCAGAGTAACACACTGGTTTTTGTCAAGGTGAGTAGTTAGAGCCAAAGAAACTTACATCTGTAAGCACTGAAGGTGATTGAATTAAAAACCTTTAAGCATCTCGTGGGTGGTGGATGGGATTGGCAGTCCTTGAAATCCAAATGAATGAACAGTTTGTAATCTGAAAGAATGTCAACAGTTTTCCCCAAACTTATTTCAATTTGAGTATGAATCCGTAAGTCCAAAAGAGAAATATATTTACTTGAAGATCATACCCTCCCTGACAAGATGAAATCATGTGTAGAGCTGGTATAAATAAAGCAAAAGTCCTGCCTACCAGAGATACAAAACAAAGGGCAAAATTCAAACCAAGAGATTAAGGAATAACACAGCTCACTGAACGCATCCTCGCAGAGCTCTCCCAAAGTCTGAAACCAAACGCAAGCTGACCAAAATTGAATTTTTATTTAGAATGAGCAAACAGCGCCTTTTGAAGAATTTGATGGAAGGTGTGAAGTGTATCAGTCTTTATCTACCCTTTACTGATCCACTTCCTATGTCAGGAACTGAACTCTTACTATCTTAGCGTTGAAATGACTTTGAAAAATATCTTATCAATGTTTATTCTTTATTCATGAGTAAAAAAAATGATTCCAAAAGATTTCTCCCCTACTGTTTATATCCAAGAGAGTTATCCTCTAAAATCAGATAAGACAGATTTAATTTATCTACTACAAAGAAAGGCTGTTTTTGCACATTGAAACAGTGCCTCAGATCTTATCATCACGAATTAATAGGCACTAGAGATTAAATTTATCCCCTAAAACTGCAGTGATAAATTATTCTTAGAAATGTTTTTGACAAACAACAAAAGAAAAACTCTGTTGTAGTGAAATTATAAAGCAGGGATTAATGTTAAAGTAAGGAAGAAATAAGATGCACCCTGATTTAAAGTTAGACAAGACTGAGTGACTCACAGTGGTGTAAGGCAATGGAGATTTTGTTAAATTGTTTTACTATTGCTCTTTGTGTTTATGTATAGCAGTTTTTGAGCTTGTCATGAATACACACCTCATCATACACTAAAGGAAGAACAAACAGAAGTGACCAACTATGTTCCCCTGACCATACCTTGAGGTTTAAGTGCTTGGCCAAATCCCAACATAGATAAGGAGATGGTGATGATTACATAGGTGACTGACCTCATCCAGTATGGTGAACATGTCTCAAAACTCAAGTGTCCAAACACAGACAAAATTCTATCTCGATATTATAATATTAATGAAGGTTCTACATTGACATTTAAAATACACATCACTGACTACAGGGCAAGGCCAGTTTGGGCACCTTCTCCTATATTGCTTAGGGTCTTAGCTGGAGTAGTCATCTTTGTGGATTCCTGGGAATTTCTCTATTTCTGGGTTTCTTTCTAGCCCCTTAATGGCTCCCTCAATCAAAATATCTTTTTTTTCCTCCTCTCATCTCTGATGGAAACGGAGGCAGAGACCTGGATCAGAGCACTGGACTGAGCACCCAAAGTCCAGTTGAAGAGTGGGAGGAATGAGAATATGGGCAAAAAGGTCAAGACCATGATGGGGACACCCACTGAAACAGTTTACCTGAGCTAATGGGAGCTCACCAACTCCAGCTGGACAGGGCCAAACTAGTCCCTCTGAATGTGGGTGACAGTTGTATGGCTGGGGTAGACTGTGGGGCTACAGGCAGTGATACCAGAATTTATCTCTACTGCTTGTACTGACTTTTTGGAAACCTAATCTCTTTGGATGGATACCTTGCTCAGCCTAGATATAGTAGGGAGGGCCTTGGACCTTCCCCAAAGTATGTGCCTTATCCTCTCTGAGAAGTAGATGGGGATGGGAAGAAAAGGTGGAGGGAATAAGAGGAGGAACTGGGATTGGTATGTAAAATGAAAAAACAACAAATTTATGTGTAGATAAACAGAGAGGGAGGAAAGAAAGGGATGGAAGTGAGAGGAAGTAAGGAAGAGAAAGAGGCAAGGGAGAGAGAAGAGTAGGGAAGGAGGGAAGGGGAGAGGAAAACAGGGAGATACAGAAAGAGATGGAAATATGGAGACAGACAAGACAGGTTTCCCCAATGAAACACTGTCATCTTACCTAATTCTGTACCCTCTTCCTATGAACTCACTTAACAATTGGAAACTTGAAGTTGCGGAATATCACAATATGCACACACAGTGGAATAACAATATTTTCTATCTTTAAATATAGAAAAACACTTCATGTAACAAAAAATTATTTAATTCAATTCAATATTATGTGTTCCTCGTTTTATTACTATATATGTTTGCTTTTCATTTGTGGGCTTTTGATGTGGGAGTGTCATATCAATCTGTTGATTTCATTGGCTGAGCAATAAAAGAAACTGCTTGGCTGGCCTGATAGGTTAGAACATAGATGGGAGGAGGAAACAGAATAGAATTCTGGGCAGAAGAGGAAGTGAGGTCAGACTCTGTGCTGCTTCCAGAGGGACCAGACAGCCGCCATGCTCTGCTCTCCCAGGCAGCTGCAACCCATGATGGACTTGGGCTAGAATCTTCCCGGTAAGCGCACCTTGGGGTGCTTACACACATCATTAGAAATGGGCTAGTCCAGGTGCGAGAATTAGCCTGTAAGGGCTAGAGTTCATGGGCCAAGCAGTTCTTAAATGAACACAGTTTGTGTGTTGTTATTTCGGGCATGAGCTAGCCAAGCGGCCAGGGTGTTGGGGACGCAGCCCCGCCGCTCTTATTTCAACAGGCTTTGCATTCAGCTGTGAATTGCTGTCTTCATATAGCAATATACAACAGCATTACTGGCCTCTGATGGGCTAGATGAAGAGAAAAATCAAGTTCTCAACCACGAACTTAAATGTCTTCTTTAGTCACATGCCAAGGCCTTGTCAACTTTAAGTGAGAATTTAAATGAGAATTATGAAAGAATATTCATATTTTAAATGATCACATTTTGAGTGTTTAGTATATGTCTGAATTTGCATAAGAAGAGATAGGTAAAATAAGTTTAATGTTAAATATCCAAAATACATACATTCTAAAATTTATCCTATTTTCTTTTACTTTGTTAAGGAAATGATACACTAAAAAGCTGGAGGTGTTCTAATTAAGTAGCCTGAGATAGTTATTGAGTGTTGTGTTCATTGTTGAAAATGTATCTTTATCAAATTACTTATAACATAAACAAGTATAAAAATAGCAAAAATAAGATCACAAATTTAGAATTTCCTACCCTAAGAAATTTTACATAGCTACATGCTCCATTGTCTTTCCAAACTATAATTTTATTTACAGAAGTTCTTTTAAGACAGCAAAGGAACTCTTCAGAGACTTGCCTGAAATCCAAGGAGCTTTTCACTGGGCTTGATGTGTCTCTGAAACTCACATTCCGTGGGCTGGATCACCTTGATTCCATCTTCATAAAAAACATAGAACATGTTCCCAATGCCCAGACCTTAAGGAGAAAACACATTTCAAAGTCAAATAGAATCATCAGAAACCTTTCAACATAACTGAGCACCCATTAGCTTCCTGGCAGTGCTGCATCGAAGAGGTTACCTGATGTTTATAAAGCACACTACCTCCCTACATCAGACACACACAGGCATTTTCTTGGCCTTCCTGCCAATCTTCTAGATCCACTTTCAGGCTTCACATCCATGGGGAACAAAATAAATTTCCTTACTTATGCCAATACTTATCTATGGGACTTAAGTCATAATTAATCTTATAAATTGGGTGCTACTAAATATAAAGTCATAAATTTTAGACATATTGAAAAGTATCTCTCTGTTTTCATTGATGGGAAGAAAATATATTCAAAGATTAATTTGGATTTTATGGTTTTTATGAATAGTGTTTGTATACTTCATTTATAGCGCATGAATTTGCATTATGTAATAACTCATATGTACTGAAATAACTGTAGATTATTTCAGCAATGATCTGGTAACTATAGTTCCAAAGAATAGCACATTAAGAGAAGATATTCCTAAACAGTAGCAGAAATGACTAACATGCAAGTCATATCTGTTGCAAAATTTTCATAAGAAAGAATCATTGGTTGTCAGCTTTAAGCTATATGTATACCTGTGCATAACAGAATGCAAATTTTATATTCAAACCTTAAAAAGATTATATTTATAAGGCTTAAAAAGACAACTACTTCTTATTTGTATTAGTCAAGCCTACATGTAAACACTAATATATGCTATATATTAATAACTATCAATTTAATATTTTAGTTCCTATATATTACTGTTGTAACTTACAATCAAACATAAACAAGTCACACTGTGTTGTCTGAATCATGTTGAAACCTCTGGAGTATTTCATGCTTCTTACAATACTCCTCTCAATTTTGAATGAATATCTTTCTACCCCAAACTGCTCCTGAGCTACCATCATGAATCAAAGTACACATGAAACTGGCAACTAGTTGCCATCCCGAATATCTGCTAATTTTCTTGAACTATTCTCACCTCTCATCTCTCTTTATACTTTCACTAAGGTTTATTTAACCATATTTTTCAAACTAATACTCAATGGGATCCCACTCTGAATTACTGAACTGGTCTAATTTCTGAGTTCAAGTGTCCTTGGAAATACCTAATTTATCCAAATCACGCATTTAAGCCTGCAACTCTGTTTCTTACCTTTAAAATATGAACTCATACCAGTACTTTTATAAATCATAAAATATATCCCAGGATACCAGCCACAGGTGAAATATAAATAATTAAGTACCTGGGGTTTACTCTGTTTTGTTCATTTAAATTTTCTCTAGTAGAAAAATAATCCCTTAGTGTTTATCAAATCCCCCTGAAAACATTCACTTTTGGGCATGGAATTATAACTGTGTAATCACTATCCATATTGAACTTAGAGCTAAGAACTGTATCACATGGCTATTGGTGAGAATCAAATGATATCTACGGATACAGAGTTAAACGAATGGTTAGCACACAATAAGATTTTAAGAAGCAGTAAATGTTGATATTCAATGATGCTATCTCTCATGGACAGGACATAACTGCAGGTGAAAGGTCATTTCTTCACTGTGTTCATTCTCCCTTGAACTTACTTTGATTGCTCAGTCTGTGCTAAATGTCTATCTTCTCCACAATAACCAATTATATATATCATGATCCCACAAAAATTTTAACTTGATTTTCTAGTAGAACATTTCTCATACTTTGTCCTTTCAGATTGTCCGAAGAGCTTTCTGTTCATATTCTTGCTGTAGTAAAATGCCATTCACTTTTCTAGCTCATTCTTCTACAAAGAAGTATGGTTTTCTTGAAGACTACCAGGTATGTTATCATCTGCATCTTCAATATTAATTCATAAGCAGATAGCTAAACTAGTGCCTGCTATTAAGCCCATTACAAAAATATTTGAAAAATGCAAAATAACCTGAGTTTGCTAGTCACTTTTGAAAATGCAATATTTAAAAAAAATGATGTGTTCTTTATACGTAAAGGACATTTTTACTTATTTTGACTACTTAGGCTGAAGCTACGGAATTTTTCATGCTTAGTATTTGTTCCAAAGCAAAGGTTTCCCTGTCTTCTCAAACTTCTATATACTCAGTGCCTTTCAAAGTGCTAATATGTACATGCATATTAGAAAAAAAATATTTGTAAACAATACATACTGCTATAAAGGCAGAGTGGTCATGGTTCTCAGAATAAAAAATAATTAGTCCTACAGTTTTCAATTACACTAAATGATAATGTGTATTTAATGCTACAACATATTATAGTTCAGTGAACGCTTCTGCCTTGCTAGTTCTAACAGTCTTTTTTTTTCTCTTTCATTTTTCATGTGTTGGTGGAGACAAACACCTGTACTATGTCATTTCCAAATCAATTGTTAATCTAGCTGTTAATCTGGAAATTAGTTCATGATTATCTTAGATTCTTTGGATTCTGTTCTCCTTATATACAGTGTATAGAAGGCACAGAAATAATTACACTCCCTCTTATAAGTAGCAATTATTTCTAATCTTTACTGAACATTTAATTCAATATTAATACAGTGAAGGACATATGATTGCAGTGTGTACTCATATTTAATCCATGGGGGCATGGCAGTGATAGAGTGATTTTGTACCCTGTTATCTCTACTATTAATTATGAACAGTACATACATGATGAATTTTGTTCCAATATGATCTGAGTCATTTCTGGATATTGGATTCACATTTAAGCTAATAGAGGAGAGGATCTTGTAGTGGTACTTGTTCTGGATTAAACTGTCAAATGACCTTAGTTTATGTAACACTGTCAGTAACGACTTAAAATCCTATAATGATTTGTTAATCAAAGTTTAACCACTGAGTTTAAATAGTTAGGAAGTATTTCCTTAATTAATACTATACTTCCATTTTCCAGTGACTATAAATATATTTGCATGCATATATGTATATATACATATATGCAAGATTCTCAGTATACATCTACATGTAACAAAAAAATTACCTTTAAGCTAAAAATTAATACAGACTTTTCTCTCCCTACATAGAATATTTTCTTTTCTGTTTTTAAATGTAACCATTATTTGTATCATGATTTAGCTGCTAAATCTGTCTTTGGACACTGAGAACAATTATATTAATACTTGAAAATAAAGACTTTATAGTATGTTTACTAAAATGAAACTTGCTATATACAAAGGCCAGGATTCTATTCCAAGAGTAACAGGAAAAATGTCTTACTCATTGTTTCATTTTTGCTGTAAAGACTTCTGGGAGTGATGGTGTCCAATCTTTTACAGGCACTATTAGTACAGAAGTGTGAATTACCTCACTATGAGTGCACCAATCAGAATGATTTACACAAGAGTCCCTTTTTAATGGCTACCTGAGATGAGCCAGTTGGTGGATAATTACAGTATTAATATTACATGATCATTGTATGTCAAATATTATAAATTAAAATTGCTAACATTTATAAAAGTTAAAATATATGGACTTTTTCGTGCACTTTATGTTGATTCCTATAGCACAGATTTGAGGAGGGAGTGCTCAGAATGTATGATTTGCTGCGAGCAGCTAAGAGATAAAATAGTTCATTAAATTTTTTCCCACATTCAACTACTAGAACCAAGTCTGTGGCTACTGATCTCCTGCTCGGGAGGAGGTGTACTCTCCATCACAATGATAGCTTGAAACAAGTGTTTCAATGCTCAGAGAAATATTTATTTGTTCTCAAGAAGAAATGTGGCATAAAGAAACACTATAAGTCAAGTCAGTGCAGGCTTTAGTCTAACTGAGCTTTGTGCAATTGAAGATGTAATATTCCAGTTGAATAGAAGGGGGATGTGGCCACAGCAGAACCGCTTAAATAAAAGTCAGAAAAGAAGATCATGAGGGAGGTTTGAAGAGCCTGAGGGAGAAAGCCAAAATGCCTCCTCATTGGCAGCAGAAGCGAGAAGGCCATTTTCCTCAGACATTTTGACTAGTGAAGAAGACAGCCAAAATTGCGTTCCTGAGTTATATTATATAACATTTATTCAATGCTGACTACTGTTTTAAAAGCCAAGAGCAGCCCCTCTGAGTATTAGTAACAGCTACACTTCTTTTAGGAATAAATACCAAGATTAATACAAAGTGGCAGGCATATGTTCTGTAATGAAACTGTTTGATTTACACTTCAACTTGTAACTCATTTTTATACAAAATATAACCACTTCATAAGATAGTTGTATAATTATTCATATACTGACTTAACCAAGGTTACCATGGAGAGCATGGTAATTTCAATTGCTTTTACTGTCTTGACCTGCTTTTAAACTTTTAAAACAATTTAAAGGTATTATAATGAGAGATTCTATTATTAATGAATCAAAGTGACCTGTATTTAAATAAGAGTACCTATATTTTATATTTGCTTTAGGTGTGTGTGTGTGTGTGTGTGTGTGTGTGTGTATGGCACAGTATGCCGAAGGATGCAAGAAGACAATCTAGAGAAGTTGGTTCTCTCCTTTCACCCCATATGTTCCGGGATTAAACCAGGTCTTTAGGTTTGGTTTCAAGTGCCTTTATCCACTAATCTATTTAGTTCTCCTATTTAGGTGATAAATATCTTAATAGCGCCAGGAATATAATAGAAAATTGTAGTATAATCAAATTAAATTTTGAGTCAAAGCGAAAATAAGCCAAATATTGAAATAAATGATAGTCCGCAAATACAGTAAAAGTCAAGCCAAGAAGTCAGAAGAATATGAAATATAACTTAATTTAGTACCTTCTTCTCTCCATAATATGTTAGCTACTGCAGCATGCCAAAAAGAAGAGAAGAGAAAAACAAGTCAGGAAAAGTTAGTTGATCAGTAAAATGAATAATCACTGTGGAGACCGAAATCTAGAAAAGAAAGTGTCTATGTATGGGGTGGTGTAATTGAAAGACTTTTGCAACTCAGCAAGGGGTGACGGTGTGAGCAGGTGCATAT